CTTCCTTCCGAGGAGTAGCTGGTGGGTTTGAACCACCAACCTTCTGGTTAGCAGTCAAATGCCTTAGACACTATGCCACCAGAGCTTCTACCTATTGTAAAAGTTCACCTTATATGCCTGTCTGTTGTTGGGCTGGAAGCCATGGGGGTGATTCCAATTCTAGGCCTGGAGGGTAACTAGGGGTCATGGTCTTGGCGGCTTCACCAGGCTCTATCAAACTAGTAAGCCTGGTCTTTTTTATGATTTTGAGTTTTATTCCACATTGTTCTCCCACTCTATCCAGGATCTCCTGCACTGATCCCTCTCCCAGTAGTAGCCAGGCACCTTCTAGTTCTTTCTGGTTGCATGGTCATATAGGCTCAGTTCACATGGTCTACTAGTCCCTTGAACTAATTGTTTCCATGTGTTTTTGGTTTTCTTTATTATTCTTTTCTCCAGAGGAGGAGAGACCAATTATTGCATCTGGATGGCTGCTTGCAAGATTTTGAGACTCTAGTCTCTACTCACCAAAGTAGGAAGTAGAACAATGTTTCTGTGTAGCATGTTATGCCAAATGAGCTTGACGTCCCCCACAACCAAGGTCCTGGGCCCACAGGTCAACAACTCACTCCATGAGGGTGGTTGGCTGTGGCTAAGAAGTGACATAGCTTTGCCCCCTGTTCTATTTATATGGACATTCTTATAGCACATACAAACATGTACGTGGAAATATCATCTGTGAACCTTATTTTTGGTCATGGGTACATTCCCTTTTCCAACATGTATTTTTCAGGGGGGCACAATTCAATCCATAACACTGCCCTAAGATCATAAAGAAATTTTCTTGTTTCTTTCTAAAATTCTTCTGGTTCTGGGTTTTACGTTTAGCTTTTGATTTGTCTCACATTATTATTATTATTGATATTTTGTGACTTGAATGCCTTTTATTTAAATTTTGTATTTAACATTTTTTTTACTTTCTTCCCCTCTTTTTATTCTAAATTTTATTTATTTTGTTGTTGAGAATATACACAGCCAAACGTGCACCAAGTCAACAGTTTCTGTCTCAGTTCAATGACATTGCTTTCATTCTTGCAGTGCAACCTTTCCCACCCTCCTTTTCTAGTTGTTTCTTCTCCATTAACATAATCCACTGCCCCTAAAGTTCCTATCTAATCTTTTGTGTTGCTGTCATCAGTTTGATCCCATATAGATAGTTATTAAAAGAGCATAATACTCAAGACAGACCTTTTCAGGTTAATTTTTATATACGGTATAGGGTAAGGGTTGAAATTCACTTCATCCTCATGTGTTCTAGCATCATTTATTGAATGGGTATTCTTTGCCTATTGCATCACCATGGCAACTTGGTTGAAAATCAGTTGAACATACACCTGTGGGTCTATTCTGGACTCTTCTGTTCCATCAATCTGTGTGTCAATCTTTATGCCAACACCACACTCTCTTGATTATTGTAGTGTTTTAGTAAGTCTTTAAATCAGTTGGGATATATCAGTCTTCTAACTTTGTTCTTCTTTTTCCAGGATTATTTTGGCTATTCCAGGTCCTTTCTCTGTAAAGATAAATTTTAGAATCAGCTTGTTAATTTCTGTAAACTAGAAAGCCTGTGATTTTGCTTGCATTGTGTTGAATCCATCAATCATTAGGGGAGAAGTGTTATCTTAACAATATTGAGTCTTCCAATTGACGAGCAGGCGTATCTCTCCTTTTAGTTACATTTGCTTGACTTCTCTCTACCATGTGTTGTAGTTCCCAGGCTTTAGGTGTTACACATTTTTGCTAAATTTTTTTTTTTATTGTCCTAAGTTTTTGGGTTTTTTTTTTTTTAATGCTGTAGGCTCCAGGGTGTCCTTGGGTGGCACAGATAGTTAGGTGCTGGACTAGTAGCCAGAAGGTTGGCTGTTTGAGCCACACAGAGCATGGGCTCCAGAGGTCACCGTGCCCCAGTTACAGGCCCTGTCCCACGGTCGGGACTGCTGGGCTGAGCTGCATCTCCTTGTGGACCCTGCCTTTCCCCAGGTGGTAGGGACAGGGTTGGGGACCAGACTGGGGCTGGTGCCACCGGGGGGGGGGACTTGCTGGTGGTAATGCTGCTGTCCACTGCAGGGCTCGACATGGAGGAAGGGAAGGAAGGTGGAACGTGGCTCGGCATCAGTACGCGGGGCAGGCTGGCAGCACTCACCAACTACCTGCAGCCACGGCTGGACAGGGACGCCCGGGGTAGAGGTATGGTCTGGGCACCTCGGAGGGCCGGGAAGCCTGCAGGCGGAGCTTCTAGGACACTGTGACCTGCCTGAGGTGACATGGCCATGGCAAGGTACATGGCCAAAGCAGAAGAGTGGGAAGAAAGTGCTGCCCATTCCCTCGTCCCAGCGACCTAGTGGCACCCCCTGGGAGGCTGTCTGTCCTCAGCCCTGACCACACGGGCCTCATAGATGTGGTCGCTCTTCTCAGGAGATGCGCTCCACATAGTGTCCCAGCCAAGCTGTCCCTCCTGCCCAGTGTGTCTGACCCATGGGTCACCAGCAGTCAGCCACCCACCCCAAGGCTGGGCTATGAGGTGTGCCTAATGTTTGTAGAATAGATGTCCCTAACAGGATAGCTCTGTGAACATGTATCTTCCCTATGGAAGGCTTTTTCCCTCAGCCTGGGTTTCCAGTGTGGGCACAATGGACAATCAAAACAAACTACCAGCCTGGTGAGACCCCTGAGACTATGTCCCCTAGTTACCCCTCAGGTGGAGCTGAACCCCTTCCTGTGGCTTCCAGCAACAGTAGGCATAGGACTGAACATTTACATCAGGTGGATACACTCCTTGGAGCTGTCAGTCATAGGAGAACAGAAGGGCAGTGTTCACATAGGGGAACAGTTCAAGGGGGCGGGAGTGCATGGAGGAAAGGACACAGGGAAGAAGTAACTATGAAGAGGAAGTGGGAACAGAGCTGTTGCATTGTGGGGAATTACAGTCAATGTCATGAGACAAAATGTATATGAACTACTATATGAAAAAATGAATTTGCTCTGTAAACTCACCCAGATCACAATAAAAATTTAAAAAAAACTAGAAAAAATTTTCAGGGATGGCCTCCATGCTGCTGGGCCCAGCCCTGGTGGCAATCAATCCTCGTGTCAAGGCTCTGCTTGTTGAGCCTCCTGACTTCTGCCTTATGACTCCTGCCAGTCTTCCTGGGGAGAGGGCTCAGAAGCGGGGCATCCCTGCAACCTTGGCCATGGGCGCTTACTCTCTGCACACAGGTGAACTGGTCACCCACTTCCTGACCACCGACATAGACAGCTTGTCCTACCTGAAGAAGGTTTCCATGGAAGGGCATCTGTACAATGGCTTCAACCTGATAGCAGCAGATTTAAGGTGGGTCACTGGGAGGGAGGAGCCCCCACAGGCTTCCCCTGGCACTATGCTGTGGGCCCAGCAGGTAGAGGGGTCCTGCCCTGCTGGGTGGTGTAGGGTGTTCCAGTGTCCGTGGAGCCACATCTGGGCCTTTGCTACCGGGACCGTGTGCATCACGCTGATAGTCTCCTGTGCCTGTGTGAGTGCTGCTGGTTCAAGGCCTGGAGAGCGCCATGCGGCTGTGTCTAGTGGGAATTCACAGGAGCGTGTTGTCACCTACCTGCCCTCCTTGCAATCCCCTCGCTGGCCTGAGGCTGAGGAACCCCTTGGTTTTAAGTTGTACCTCATTCCCGTAGCCTTTGGCAGGCGGTGATTACCTGAGGCTGAAGGAGGAGTCCTCAGTGCATATACGTCTGAGTGTGGGGTGAAGCTCCCTGGGCCTGTGGGTGTGGCGGGTCCGATTGAGCTGACTGCTGCAGCTTGTTCAGAAGGTGCCATGGAGTGGACACCATGGCTTATCTTCGGGGGCCGTGAGGGCCTTGATAAGCTCCTTGTGGTGCATGAGCAGAGGCTACCTGTTGGGGTGTATGCCATCCTCTACCTTCTGCTGCAGACAGAGCCAGGGACTGCAGCCGACCAGACTCGGGGTGGCTTCAGGGGGCCCCAGGGCGGTCTGGGGTGGTCTGGGGTGAGCAAGTGAGTTATGGTGCCCACCCAGGATGCTTACCACTTGCCAGGGTTCTTGGGACCTGGGGCAGGTGAAGGCTTAGAGGAAGTGAGGGCAGCCCAGGACCCAGAGGGTCTGAGAGTTGAGCCAGGCAGGTGGGTTGGGAGGACAGTGGTGGCTATGAAGCAAAGGAGCTCTGGTGGTGTAGTGGTTAAGGCATTTGGATGCAAACCAGAAAGAAGGTCAGCAATTTAAACCCACCAGCTGCTCCGCAGGAGGAAGATGAGGCAATCTACTTCTGTAAAGATTTACAGCCTTGGAAACCCAGTGGGGGTCGCTGTGAGTTGGAATCAACTCGATGGCTGGTTTTGTTTCCCCCCTAATGAAATGACCTTGCTGCCAGGCACCTGGGGATGTCCCTGGGTAACCTTGTGGGCCGAGCTGGGAGGGAGGATGTGCGTGCTGTAGGGAGGGAAGCTGGTGCAGAGTCCCTGGGCCCCCTTCGTGGCCTTTGGGAGCCCTGGGCCAGAATGCTCTGTCCATGGTGGCCCGGATGAGCTCACAGGGTCAGGGTCCCCCTCCCCCTGCGCAGAGCCTGGGGTGGGTGCCGAGCCCCCCGTGCTCACCAGGGTGTCCTCCATGACCTTGGTGAGGCGTCCGTCTTCCAGAGACAGCTTCTGTGTCCCCTCATGCTGGTTGGCCTCACAGGGCTTGGCCTGTAGGATTCAATAAGAGATGAGTGGAAGGGGTGTGAGGTTGCCCAAGGACAGTGTGGCAGCAAGGCTGGGGGACCAGGCTAGACAGTGGGGACCTGGGGAGGCTGAGACCAGGACAGGGTGGCCCTTGCACTGTCAAGGGGCAGAAACCTGTTATTAGAGGAGGTGGAGACATGGCTGCACAGCCACAGGGGGGCTTCTACTTGAGTGGGGTCAGCTGACGACAACAAGGAGGACGAGGGCCCTGCCTGCACTGACTGGGAGGACAGGATCCCCAAGGAGAGTGCAGGAGGCCTGGGCTGGGTGTAGACATGAGGCCCAGGGTCAATGCCCTGGGTCCCAAAGAGAGCATGCAGCAGTTGGGGGCATCCCCAGGCCCGCATGGGGCACACACTTGTATGTGAAGAGGGAAGTGGACAGCCAGCCAGTGGTTCTGTGGTTCCATGGAGCACTGCAGAGGGACACGCCGAGCCCTTTGTGGGCTTGGGCTCAGCACACCTTCACAGCAACCCTGTGTACACCGAGGTAGCAGAGTCTTTGCGAGGTAGGGCACCTACCAATGCTCGTGTGGGCTGGGCTCCCAGCGTCCCTGGAGAAGGAAATTGCAGCCCACCAGTTGGGCTCCAGGCTGGCAGGGCAGCCATGCTTCTAGCTACCGTGCCACTGGAGGCCAGTCTGTGCCCCACCCGTGATGCCGTGACAGGATGCCAGGCCGGTGGGGCCGGAAGAGTTATATCTCTCAACAGTGCTCCTGAGCCTGGAGAAGGCGCGACCTCAGATGTGGGCCTTGACCAGCCTGGGCATTGGCTGCAGAGCGCCAGCTACCCGTGCAGCTGCCTTAAACCCTAGGCTCGCCACCGGGTGCCATCTGCTGAGTGCTGCCTACCTCACCCCTAGGACACCGTGCCCCCGAGGGGCAAAGTCAGATGAGATCCTTAGCAAGGGGGTATGACACGGGCTACCCACAGCCATGGGTGGCTGGTCAGTGGGACACCATACCAGGTACAGACTGGCTGCTTGGCATCTGTTGGTGACAGCATCACACCCTGAGCCTGGAAGTGTGTGGCCTGAACTTCCAGCCTCTACAGGGTTTCCTCGGCATGGGGCACATGGTGCTGGGTGTGGCACGTGGGCCTGGCTGCCGGGCTCCCTCCACCCTTGGTCTGTGGGTTTGGTCGGTGCAGCGGGGGAGAGCTACTGTTTCACAGTCAAGGTTTGCATGCACAGCCTGTCCAGGTGGGGGTTCAGCAGCACATGGTGCTCACAAGGAACAATCCCAGCGGGCACCCTGCTGTGCACCTGGGCCCTGTGTGTTTCCCACCGCCCGTGTGTGTAGAGTGGACTTGCGTCCAGCTGTCAGGAGTAGCCACAGAGGGCCTCATCCAGGAGGGTGGAGCTGTTGGTGCTTCCCTTCGAAGATCTCGTTAAAGGTTCGGTTCCTAGTTTTTGCATTGGGAGCCGCATGGGTTTTGTGTATTTGTCCTCCAGTGAAATGAGGCCCCCTCCCTCCCTTCCCTTGTATGGAACCTGCCATCTGGAGCCCTGGGGACAACAAGCTGGGCTCAGGGAGCATACATTTAGTTATATTATTTTTTATATTTGGTTTAAGGTGTACCAGAGAACAGAAAGAAGATCTATTTAGTTGACAAATAGCTGTTTTTAAACAAGGGTGCACACATGTAAATTTACCCCTGGAGATTCTGTGGCAACTGGTCTGCTGTGGGTTGGGGACTTTTTAATGACAGCAGTTTCTGCGGAGGGACCTTGTTTTGGTTACTTAGTGCCACTGTAACAGAAAGTACCACAAATGGGTGGCTTTCTCTTACAGCTTTAGAGGCTGGAAGTCCGAATTCAAAGTGCCATACTCTAGGGGTGGGTGAAAGCCCCTCAACCTTGGGCTTCGGTTCTGCCTCTTGCTCCCAGCCGACTGAAGCTGGAGGCTTTCTTCACTCAGGCGGCTGCTGGCTGCTGAGGCTGAGAAACCCAAGGTCGACAGGTAAAAAGGCACAGTCCCGATATTACCACACAACACAGCAGGCCACTGCTTCAAGTGCATTAAGAGTCCCAAGATCGGCAGATGACTTGGCAGGCTGCTGAATGACAACTGGGCTACATGCAGGGTTTAAGTGTGCCAGAATCTGGAGAACTGCCGCAAAGTCACTTACATACGGGAAGCAGCCCCCATCCCTAAGGCAGCTACTCAGCCGCTCCAGTAGATTCCACCGTGGAGCTGATGGCCAATCTCACCATGAGGAATAACGACATTCCTCACAGACAGGGGCCAGGTGTCCTGCCACCCTCCACGCTGCTTGGCACTCTCCAAGGCGCTAGGCCAGCTTCACTGCATGGTGGCCACACAGGGATAGTGGCCAGCTGCAACCAGACCAGGGCTAACCAGGGCCCATTCCCCCAGGCCAGGTGTGCCTGTTCCCACGTTGGCTGCCCAGCTACTCAACCAGGCAGGCGGATCAGCAGAAAGGAGAGGGCCAGGGCGGGTGGGGGGACCACCTGGCATTTTGTGCCCGTTCCTTTCTCGGCATTTGCTCATTCCAAAGGCCCTGGCATGTGTGTCCAGCAGCCAGCCTGGGAGGGGTCCCAGGCCACAGAGAGCTCTCTGCAGTCAGTGGGGAAGGCGTCCTGAGTTTGGATGGCACAGCTTAGTGTGGTGCTGAGGAACTGGAAGATCTTCAGCTTTGCAGTATTTCTAATGATTCTGAAATGCACTCAGCATTTAAAAGGATGGGGAATGTTTGTTCAGGAGCCTCAGGGCCCTAGAAGCACCCCCCAGGCCACAGGTTGGAGGCCAGCGGAAGCCTCCAAGGTGGAGAGGTGGCAGCCATGGAGGCCCCGTCTGCTGTGTTCCTCCAGGTGGAGGGCTTTGGGGGCCTGGACGCTGTTCAGTTGGGGTTGAGCAGATGCCTCGAGCAGCTCCTGGGAGTCTTCGGGTGGTTACTCACACCCTGCTGGAGGATGAGTGCTCAGTGGACCTGTGGACCACAGGCCACGCTCCCCGTGGTTTTCACCAATGTAGCCAACCTAGGCCCATGCTTTGAGGGCGTTTGGCAAGGTAGGAGGCTCTTTTAGACCATTTCCTAGGTTGGTAGTCCCCTGTGACACTGGACTAGAACCAGTGGAGTCCATGACCTGCCTGTGAGGGCAAGGTGGGAGCAGGCACACCTAGCCTGGCGGAATGGGCCCTGGTCTGGGTGCAGCTGGCCACTGTCCCTGTGTGGCCACCATGCAGTGGGGCTGGGCTGGAGCCTTGGAGAGTGCCAAGCAGGGGGAAGGGTGGTAGGACACCTGGCTCCTATCTGGGGCTGACAGCCCGCCTGACCTCTCCACTTCCGTTCACAGCACGGCCAAGGGAGACGTTGTCTGCTACTATGGAAACCGGGGACAGCCTGAGCCCATTGTGCTGACACCAGGTGAGTCCTCTCTAGTACTTGGTGACGGGATAGGGTGTTGCCCCTTCAGGAGCCTGGCTCCCTGCTGGTTTACTTTCTTGGAGCTGTACTTTTCAGCCATTTGTGTAACTTACTGCCTATACCAGCTAGAGGCCTGGCCTGGCCTGGCCACAACAGGGAAAGGCTCCGTGCCCTTGGCAACTGCCTCTCCACCTTGTTCCTCTTTACTGCCCACACCATGGCTCTGCCTGCAGAAGTGGGACGTGCCTTTGCTCTGAGCCCCCACCTTACGCACAGTAGCCCAGCCAGTGTCCCCCTTTGCTGTCCTCACCCCTTTATGCAGCCCCACTCCATGGAGCCCTGCTTGCCACCTAGCTTACTGGGTCCTCCTGGGTGCAGTTTGACCCTAGGACAGCTCACTCCACGGGAGCCCCCTGTCCCTTCTTTGGGCTCTTGCCTCTCCTCCTCTCCTCTAGTTTCTGCCCATACCCTTCCCTGGTGTCACACACCCCTGGCCCCATCTGTTCCTGCCTCAGCCTCTGTAGTTTCAGGACAGATGGTCCTGGCGCAGATGCTGCCCCCTGCCCCCACACAGACTCCTTCTCGTCCAGGTTCTACCTGTGCCCCTCTCCCCTTATCAGCAGGTATCTTGGGAACCAAGGCCTCTGCCCTCGCTACTGTGCCCTTGCTGGCTGGGCCCTTCCCCTTCTACTCTGGTCACTCACTCCTGACCTGAGAGTGTCCCTTGCCACCATGCACCACCACCGTGAGCCTCTTCAGAAGGTCTGCCTCCTGTGGTTCCAGGTCTGAGCCAGGGCAGAGCTGGCACTTCTGGGGAACAGAAGTATGCACATGTCCAGCATGGCACGTGGGTTCTGAAACCGCCAGGACCGTTGAACATGTCCGACTCTGGTGGTTAGGATATTCACAGAGCAATGGAACCATAACCACCATCATTTTTAGAACACCTTCATCTCTGTAAAAAGGAACCCCATATCCTTTAGCTATCACCTCCCCACAAAATACCAGTCCCTGTGGCCTTAGGCAACCACTATTCTATTACTTGTCTCTATGGATTTGCCTGTTCCAGACATTTCATGAATTGGGACCATACGCTCCGTGACCTTCTGCATCTGACTTCTTTCACTCAGCACATGTTTTTAAGGTCTGCCCATGTTGTAGCACGTATCAGGACTTCGTTTCTTTTTATGACCAAATAACATTCCATTGTGTGGATACACTACCATTTATCCGTTTGTCAGTTGATGGACACGTGAGTTGTTTGCACTTTTGGGCTGTTGTGAACAATGGTGCTGTGAACTTTCCTGTATGAATTTTTGTGTGGACATAAATTTTCATTTCTCTTGGACATAGGCCTAGGTTTGGGATTGCTGGGTCATATGGCAATCTACTTTACAGCCTTGGAAACCCAGTGGGTGTCGCTATGAGTCAGAGTTGACTCGATGGCAGTGAGTTTGGTGTACTGGTTAAGACATTTGGTTGCTAACCAAAAGGTCAGTGGTTTGAACCCACCAGCCACTCTACAGAAGAAAGATGGGACAGTCACCTTCCATAAAGATTTACAGCCTTGGAAGCCCAGCGGGGGTTGCTATGAGTTGGAATTGACTCAGTGGCAGTGAATTTCATGGTGACTGTATGTTTAACCTTTTGAGGATCTAACAGACTATTTTCCAAAGGAGCTGTATCATTTTTACATTCCCACCAGCAGTGCACAAGAGTTCCACCTTCTCTCCATCCTTGACAACACTTGTCTTTTTTATTTTGGCCAGTTTAGTAGGAACCCTGCTGACACCGTGGTTAAGCGCTCTGCTGCTAATCAAAAAGTTGGCAGTTCAAAGCCACCAGCCAGTCCGTGGGCGAAAGATGTGGCAATCTGCTCCTGTAAAGGTTACAGCTTTGGAAAGCCTATGGGGTAGTTCTACTTTGTCCTTTAAAGGTTGCTATGAGTCAGAATCAACTTTACAGCAATGAATTTAGTTTACTCTTTTGATTAGTGAGTGTGAAGTGGTATTTCATTGTGGTTTTGATTTGTATTTTCCTGATGACTAAGGATTCTCAGCATCTTCTCCGGTGCTTACTGGCCATTTGTGTATTTTCTTTGGAACACTGTCTATTCAGATTCTTTATTCATTTTCTAACTGAGTCGTACAATGATTAGTGTTATGTGTCGATATGGCTAGGTGGTAGCCTAGTTGTTTATTCAAATACTAATCTAGGTGTTGCTGTGCAAATATTTTGTGGATTTGGTTATCATCTACAGTCATTTAATTTTAGGAAAAGGAGATTACCCCTGAGAATGTGAATGGGCCTTAAGAGCAAAAACTGAGGTTTCCTGAAGAAAAGGATATCCTGCCTCTGGACTGTAGCATAGAATCTTGCTCTGTTTTCAGACTGTTGGTCTATTGCTACAGGTTTCAGACTTTCCAGTCCCTACAATCATGTGAGCCAATTCCTTATAATTTCTCAATATTTATCCTATTAGTTCTGTTTCTCTGGAGAACCCTCAGTGATAGGTTATTATTACTTTTTTATTATTGAGTTGTAAAAGGTCCTCACACATTGTAGATACAAGTCCCGCATCAGATATGATTTGCAAAACTTTTCTCCCATCCTGTGCATTGGCGTTGTCTTTTCACTTTCTTTAAGGTATCTTTCAAAGCAAAAATTCTTTATTTTGATGATATCCAATTTATGTATTTTTTCTTTTGTTGCTTCTGATTTTTTATATCATATCTAAGAAATTATTACCAAATGCAAAGTTGTAAAGATTTACACTTAGGACTTTTGTGTGTCGTGTGAGGTAGGGGTCCAGTTAATTCTTTGCATGTAGAGCTCCAGTTGCCCAGCACCAGTACTAAATGGTGTTCCCTGTCTCTCCTGCTGGAAAGGAGTCAGACAACCTGGGGTAGTGGCTAGGCTGTAGGGGTTTGGCAGAGCCATGGTGTCCTCCTGGGAAATGGCAAGAATTATGTCCAACTTGGCTGAAGCCTTCACCTGCAAGTCTGACAACAGCAGAGAGATTGTATCTTCATATCCTCTGGGCTCTAATTCAAGAGGTATGACTTTGATTACACCCACCCCTGCCACAGGGTGGTGCTTTCTAGAGTAAACACAGTAGCCCTAGCCTTTTGAGAAGAGACTCTGAAGGGCTACTCAGCAGACTCCTGTCCATTCTTTTAACTTTTTTGATGAGAGAAACCCCTTTCTTTTGTCACAACTTCTGTTAACACCTGTGGGAACTTGATCTGGGACACTTCTACCCAGAGTCCTCTGCTTGGCAATGGTGGGGACTATGCTGTGCTCCCACTGAGGCCTTGCCCACTCCCACTGTGTGTAGTTGTCCCTGATGTTTACTGATTTCCATAACTACCAACCCCAGGCCGATCCCAAGTGACAACTGTCTTGGCATTGGGTGTCTGATTTCCCACCCTTGAAGTTGTCAGCTTTTTAGGTGGATGTATACCCGAAAGTTCTTCCTGGTTGAGGGAGGGAGAGGCAGAGATGGATGGATGGATGGATTAGTGGGTGGATGGATTGGTGGGTGGATGGATAGATGGATGGATTGATGGGTGGATGAATAGATAGATGGATAGATGGATGGATGGATAGATTGTTGGGTGCATTGATGGATGGACAGATAGGGAGTGAGTTGCTGGTGCAGGGGAGGGGTTGGTTATGTATTGGGACTCCCTCGCGAGGACCCGTCTGTAGTTTGCCCAGCTGAACTTCAGGCTGTGTGCTTATTACTTACCTGTCCACCAAGGGCATTTGGTGTCTTTGCCTCAGTCTCCTGAAGTCACCCTGCTTGTTGGCTTATCTGTTCCTACCTCATAGGCAAGTCAGGAATGTGCAGCAGGAGTTGCAAGCAGTGTGGGAACGGACTCGGCCCCTGGCCTGGTCTGCTCTGCACCCACTGCTCCCAGCTGTGCCCCTGGCACGAGCCTGGCATGAGCCTGGCTGGAAATCCTCAGAGTGGAAGGTCTCAGGCATTCACTCTGAAATCAAACAGCCCTGTGCTGGCCAGGCTGACCCCTCTCCCTGCAGGCACCTATGGGCTGAGCAATGCGCTGCTTGACACACCTTGGAGGAAGCTGAGCTTCGGGAAGCAGCTCTTCCAGGAGGCTGTGGAGCAGAGCCAGGCTCTGTCCAAGGACGCCCTTGTCGCCCAGCTCCTTGGCGTGCTTAACAACGAGGAAGCGTGAGTGGGCAGCTGGCCAGGCCTGGGGCAGGGCTCCTCTGGGATGGGCACTGGGGTTGCTGAGAGCAGCAGTGGCTGACCTTGGAGGTGGCCCAGCAAGTGCTTCCTGAGGCTCCTGGCTGCCCTAACAGGGGTGGCCCACAAAACTGAGCCAGGGATGTCCCCCTACCCCCTCCAGCTCCAGCCTTGGGAGCAGAGAAGGAGGGAGGGAAGCCCTACTGCCCCAGGAGGTGTGTGGAGAGACCTCCCCTCTGAGAGCCACCCCTTGGCCGGCCCCTGTTTACCTCCCTCATGCATTTGAGGTTTGTGACAAGGGCCTTCTTTGATGGAGAGAGATGGAGCAGCTGTGAGCTGTTATGCCAGGAAGCTTGGGTCTCCTTGAGATTTGACACAGGCTCATTCACATGGGGCTGAGAGAAGCCAGAGGCTCCCCTCTGCGTGAAGAAGAGCAGTGGGAGATTCCAGAAGGCTCCAGCTGTAGCAAACCCTGGGGAGAGGGACAAACCACGGAAAGGACCAGCTACTGTTAGAGCGTGCCTGGGATTTGACTGTCCTCCTGTGGGGTGTCCCACCAGTGACTCTGTGATGCTGAGTCACCTGCCCGTGTTACTGCTCCTCCCAGAAACTTCACAGAGTAGGGTGGGAGGAGCCTTCCCAACCTCAGCTGCAGCACCTCTGCTGGGGGTAGGGGCTCATACTGTCCTGGGGGCCCTGCCACTTGGTGCATCTCAGGGCACCTCAGCCTCGGTCATGGTACTTGCCCCCACTGGCAGTGCTGCCCCCCACATGCTCCTTTACCTCCCTTACCCAGGTCAGGCTGTCATCCTGCCTGGACCACCCAGCATCCACTCACCCCTCACCCAGCTCACTCCCCACTCGCAGCCTCCCAAAGGGACATTTTTGGAAGGAAATAGTGGTGTGCCCCAATCCTCCTTGGGCTAAGCACCTAGAGGCTCCTACCCAAGGCCCCGCGGGAACCACAGCCTGCCTTCCCTCCTTTCTCCTTCTATCCAGGGACCCCTCCCCACCCTCATGCCTGCTTGCCCACTTCCTCCTTTCAGCCTTGCTAAGCCAAGTATGTGCTTCAGCCTCTGACACCCCCTCCACCTCTCCACCCCTAGCGGCCGCCTCTGACCAGCCCCATCCCAGCCACACACTGGGTCACCCAGCATTCAGATGGCCCACAAGGCCCTCTGGGGCAGGTCCAGTGGGTGTGAGCTCACTCCTGCAGCAGGCCCGCCTCTCAGCTCCACCCCCAGTAGCTCTGCCTTCCCCCCTTGGGCCCCTGCCGAGGAATGTGAGCACATTCCTGAGGGCTTGCTGCAGTTCTTCCCTGGAGATGGGGCCCCTGGCAATCCAGTCGGGTCAGACCAGCAGAGCCTGCAGAAGCACTGAGCTCCTAGGGCTCACCGGTCCTGGGAAAGCCACTTGTACCAGACCATGCCAGTGACCCTGCAAGAGGAACTGGCCGCCCAGTAGCTTGATTCCGCCCATGGAATCATAAGTGAACGCATGGACAAGGATTTGGGGTCTTGCGCAGGCAAGTGGACAGAATGGCCCCTGGCCCCTGGGGTTCCCCTCAGCCTACCTTCAGAGGCTGGGTGGCACCTTAGGAACTGAGAGACTGTTAAGGCCGAGGACGCTGCCTGGCCAAGCAGCACTGTGGGCAGCAGTAGCTGAGGGGCTGACTGATGGTGACCACTTCTCTGTCCTTCCAGACAACTGCCAGACCCGGCCATCGTGGACCAGGGCAGGGAGTATGTGCAACCCATCCTGAGCAAGTACGCAGCTGTGTGTGTCCGCTGCCCAGACTATGGTACCAGGTACGGGACGGTGAGGCCCAGGCCCTGAGGGCCAGTACGCCAGGCCTCAGGCGAGGAAACCCAGGTTTCCTGTGATCCCATAGCTAGCCAGGCAGGAGCCTTCCCTACTGGGCTGGACCTAGAGCAGCTGCCCGGTCTCGAAGCAGCTGCCGTTTCAGCTCAGGGGGCTGGGAAGGGCACGCTGAATCAATAGCTAACAGTTGTGCCCAGGACACTCCAATGCACAGGGCCCTGCAGGCCTAGGTTCAAGGCCCCTGAGCCTCCACGGCCTCCTTGTGGGGGGCTCCTGGACTGCCTGCCCCTTTGAGGAACCCGTGTCCAGCCATGCAGGGGCCAGCATAGCCTCAGGGATGCTCGTATTGACAAATACCTATGGTTTGGGAGCAGCCATGGAAGTCTTGTTCTCTCATTCACCCTGAGTCCCTGGACCTAGCACATCCTCTGTGTGACGAGGGGCAGGATTAGGTCAACTCAGCCTGGGGAAGGTGCCCCAGCCTAGGAAAATCTGAGCCATTGGTGTCAGCCACAAGGTGAACATGTTCAGGCAGGGAAAGCCATCATCTCAGGTATCATGCGTCCTGGTGGAGAAGAGGGAGGAGGGTCTTCAGAGCAGGTTGTGGCCCACCCCCTCATCTGAGGTGCTTGTGGTGGAGTGTGTAGGGGAGGGTGGAAGCTGTTGGGCCAGCCCAGGCTGAGGGGTAGGTAGATGAGGACTGCTAGGAGGTTCGGGGGGCACTGGTTGGAGGGTCCACAAGCAGACAGTGGGAGCATGGCTTGAGGCCCTTCTGAGTCCCCACACCAGCCAGTTGTATCCATCAGTGGGACAAGGAGCACTCGGGACGGGGTTGAGTCTCATCCGATGGGTATTTTACCCTGGAGCGGCCAGCAGGCATTTGGGAAGGTCCACAGCGGGTCGGGCCTCGACCTTGCTGCCCAGGGTCAGTGATTGGGACATGATGGTCTCATCTCCCACAGCTGTTCTTACCAACACCGGGTCATGGCCACAGGCCAGTCAGCAGGGTGGGCCTAGAGACAGTTGGAGGAGTGGTGGTTCTGACAACCCAGGTTGAGTGTCTTGCAGAAGAAGTGCGTGCCCTGTGTAAGCGTAGCAGGGAGGATGCTGGCCCAGGGGGGCGGGGTCTGGGTGGGCACGGGGGCTTGCCAAGGACTGGCATGGTGAAAGGAGCAGGCTGAGGCTTCCGGGGCCCTCAGCCGTTGCTCCTCTTGCACAAGCCTTGGCTGAGTACTGCCCGTGCTCCTTGCTTGGCCCTCAGCAGTGCACTCACCCTCAGATAGTGCTGCCCTGTCGTGAGCACCACTGTACTTGGCGTGGGAAGAGTGCAGCCCTGTGCAAGTGCAGCCCTCACGGACCACGACCCCCATGCGTGTGCTCAGTGAGCCTCGTGATCCCACGTGCACAGGTGCTCTCCTCCCTGGGCCCTGCCACGGCGAGCCCAGAGTCTGATAGGGGCCCACAGCCAGCACATGTAGACAAGGACCAATGCCATCTGGTACCTCTACAATGGCACACACACATTTGGTTACCAGGTTCATGTGAATGGATGTGCTACCCTTATGAATGGGGTGACATTCAACATGCAGTGCCTGGTCCTTCTTGTCCCAGCAGGTAGGAGGGAATGGGTGTCACCCACCTCACTGCAGGAGAAGAGGGTCATTTTCCCCAGGGAGGCTGCACAAGGGCAGGGCGGGGCATGGCATGCTCACAGCCCATAGCAACCTCATACTGCCTGCTAACCAGGTGCCCTGTGGTGGAAGTCCAGCCTCCAGCTCAGTACCCTCAGGGGAGAAGGAGCAGTTTTACAGGCAAGGGGACAGGGCCAGAGAGACAGATGCAGGAATGCCTGAGGACCCAAGTGACTGTTAGGGCTACAAGCCGAGTGCTCAGTCCTCCAGGAATGATGGCTACCAGAGCCTTCTGGCTGGGGACAAAGACAGCAAGCAAGGCCAAGCACACTGCCTGGGCGGTGGCTGGGCTAACTACTGGCCCTTGCCGTCCTCTTTGGGCGTGAAGTCATGATCTCCCTCCAGTCCGTCATCTGTCACAGGCTTTTTTGCTTTACTAAGCTATCTGTGCTGTGGACCAGTGTGTATAAGGCAGCTCAATGTGTCTGCTCCCGACTGGGTGCTGAGCACTGGGATCTAACCAAATAGACCCTCCGTCTGCTCAGTGATGCTTCTACACCCACCCTGTGTGTCAGCTTGTGCTGGGACAGCTCATAGAGCCACTGACAGGACCCAAGAGAAGGACTCACTGAATATTGGGAAGAGCAGCACCAATTTAGACCAGTAGTGGGGAAGGAGGGCAGAGAGGAAAAATGGTACTTTCCTGAAATAGGGTAGGAAAAGGCCCCAAGACGTGGAGAACTTGGCTTGTGTAGAGAACTGAATGTGGCCTGGGTGGCCAGGATACAGTACTTAGTGTGGGCAGTGGTGACAGCAAGGTGGAAAGTGGCAGTGGCTAGAGGCTACAGCAACCCCAGGGTGGAGGAGCTGGGCTTTGCCCTCACGGCCCAGGGAGCACAGCAGGGTTCTGAGCATAGAGGTGGCATCTTCCACAGCACAGATAGCTTAGTAAAGCAAAGAAGCCTGCGACAGATGACGGACTGGAGGGAGATCATGACTTCACGCCCAAAGAGGACGGCCAGGGCCAGTAGTTAGCCCAGCCACCGCCCAGGCAGGTAGCTCTCTAGCTACCATGGGAAAGTGGGGGCGATTGAGGGCTCATGCTGCCCTGGGAGGGCGTGGGCAGGTCAGAGGTGTTCCGAGGTGGAGGCAACAGGCTCAGTGAAGGGTGGGGCTTGGCATAAAGCCCTGGCAGGTCCGTGAGGCCTGCTGGGAAGTCACAGGTCACGCTGGAGGGGAGGGGTAGTTAGAGCGCCAGGCTCAGGGCCCAGAGCCCCTGGATGAGCTCCTCTGCTTCCCCAGCGCTAACCCACCTCACCCCAGGACTCGTGCCCAGCATAGGCGCAGTGGGGTGGGGGCTGCTCTCTGCTGCGGCTCAGCGGCTGGTGGGGAGGCACCGAGAGCAGCCCGGGGAACGTGAGCCTGTGCTCTCTTTCAGAACCAACACAGTCATCCTGGTGGATGCGGAAGGCCACGTGACCTTCACGGAGCGCAGCATGCTGGACAAAGACCCCACCTGCTGGGAGACCAGCACCCATGAGTTTAAACTACAGAGCTAACCCCACCTGTGCAGATAGGACCCTCCACATCACAGCGTACCACCCATGAGAGACTTGAACAGCGTCCCTAGGACCAGGGCCCTCTGATTTGTGCATTGCCTCTTCCGTCTCCCCATGGCCAACTTGGGATCCGCCCTTATGCCAGATGGGGAGTGACAGTGTCTGACACCCAGGTGTAGGGCAGGCACAGGTCTGCTGTGCATATGTGAATGGGCCTGCCTCTGGGCACATACATGCACACTCACCCCCCCCACCCCACCCCCACCCACACATACACACTTATACACACAAGGCACACTTATACACACACCATGACACACACAAATGTACAAATGTGTACATACTCATGCATTCATACTCATGGGGACAGACACACATGTGTCAATGTGGTAGAGGCATACCTCTCATACCACATATGTTCTGGCCAGCGGATCTTTGCTTTGGTCTAAACTACAAGAGAAAATTTTTATCTAATGGTGGCCCTTCCTCCTTGGCATGTAGGACACATGCAATTTCTGACAACCAGACCTGCTCTGAGAGTGGAGATGGGCCATGATTCGAGTGAGGTGCAAGGAAGACCCAAGAAAAACCCACTCTCCAGAACAGTACAGCCTGGTTGGGGGATCTAGTGGTCCCGTATGCTCTAGGTGGTCTCATGTGCACTGGGTGGTCCATTGTGTGCCCTTGAGGTCCTGTGTGCCCCAGGGCACCCCTCCAGCCTCTCACTCCAGCTCCTGCTCATTCGAGTGGGGGTTGGATATTCTGAGGTAGGTCTCACCAAGAAGACACATCCTGTCATTTCCCCTCTCCTTCTTGGAGAGTCAAACTTCACTGGCATCCGAACTTCATCAAAATGGGGACTTGAACATAAGTTTTATTGGTAATAAAACTCCGATTGAGGCTGTGCTGAGTACATGTATTTCAGGGTCCTGCACAGTGTGATGAGTGACAACTAGAGCAATTTTGTGCAAGGGGACAGTTCTCACATCTGTACCCTGTTGTCCTGCTGTCCTGGCACTCCCCGGGGGCTTCTTTCCTGTGGGAACTCCTTCTGCAAGTACAGACACCTGTACCCGGCTCTGTGCACTGAGCTCTGTGGCCTCCTGAGCACTGTGATGGAAGCCAGCCGGTCAGTGTGTCCAGAGCCCATCTGTCCTTGGTCAGAGGCCGGATGCTAGAGAGCTCATGTGTGTGGGGCAGGCTACTCCACCACCAGGGCCTCTTGTGCCTGGCTGAGGAGCCAGAGGTTTCCCCTGGGTGGCAGTGGGGGGCCCCATGAGGGTCTTGTGGAGGAAGCAGGGGCTGCAGGAACTAGGGGTGCAGGGACTAGGGGGTGCAGGGACTAGGGGTGCAGGGATGGTGGTTAAGTAGAGGCTGTGTCTCAGCCCCAGAATCCCTAGTGCAGGGCAAGCCTTTGAGGGCTTCTGTCCCAGCCATGGCCAAGCATAAGGGGGTCTCACTTCTCCTATGCTAAGCCCCAGACCCTGCTCTCTGAGCAGTTGCCAACTGGAGCTTGTCAGGCCACGTGAGCGTGGTCTGGAGTGGGCCCTGCACCCTTAAGCAAGAGGAATTTCTGGTCCATCTGGGGAGGAGCAGGGTGTGGACTTGCCTCCTCACCCTTTCCCCTTCAAGCCCCAGACCACCCTTCAGGGACCTGAAGCTTTCCTTGGCTTTTTTTTTTTTTTTTTTTTTGAGTTGATGCATTTATTCCAAGTAATTAACACATTAAAAATAAAGTGAAAATTGTTCAAGCCAATGCATAAATTCTCCAATCTTTCTAACAAAATGTGCAACCCAAAACACCACACTGTGGTAGACATAACTTGGAAAGGGGAGGGGGAGGGTAGAGGAGGAGAAGACGGTCCTGGGTGGTGCAGTTAAGCAGCCAGCTATGAGCCAGAAGGTCGGCAGTTCAGATCCATCCAGAGGCGACTTAGAAGACGTGCCTGGCAACCTGCTTCAGAGAAGCCCCAGCCTCACAGACCCTGTGGAGCAGTTACGCTCTGCACACCTGGGGCTCCACCAGCCAGAGTCGACGCCATTGACTGCCAGCAGGAGCGACAGGAGGGGAGATACATAGGCATTTGTGAAAGAGTAAGTCCAGTCCCAAGACAAGTTTCAGATCTTGCACCTCTTCAGAGCAGAAATGGCTGCTGAACAAGTTCACACGGAGTGTCACTGGGTCACAACAGTGAAGAGGCCGTTTCAGAAGTAGAAGGGTCTTGGAAGTGTAGACTCCTGGCATCAAGCCACAAAGGAGACTTCCTGATTTGTTGTCTTCTAAATGTGAGTCTGCTAGATTCTCTGCCGTGCTTGTTGAGGCCATTCCCAAATGCAGGACCATCCCAAGAAAGGCAGCAATCGGTGCAGCGTGGGGCCAAAAAGCCTTGGGAACTGAACAGTAAGCAAATGAGCTGCCCACACTGCATGGCCAACCTTGTGTCATTTTCGACTCAGCAGTACTTGATGCGTTCCAGCCCCTTCAGATCAAAGGAAAGCTCCAGATACCACAGAATGTGTGGATGAGCCAGGCTCTGAGCTCTGCACACCACCCTTGCGGCTGCACGGCTGCGGATCTATCCTTGGTGACTGGCCCATGGGCACCAGTGCCCCGTGAAAGCACCCACCCCTGGGCCAGGCGCCTCCCAGGTGGGTCAAGCAGGTGCTGGTGAGCATTACCGGGCTGGGCTGCAAACCATTCTGAAGAGCCTTCCACCCATTTGCTTCTGCGGGACCCACCAGGCCTTCCCAGGGCTCCAGATGGCCTGGGCCTCCTCAGGAAGGGACAGCTAAAGAAGCAGATTCTTTTGTGATCCTCCTTTTACAGACGAGGAAACTGAGTCCTGGGAAGACCAAAGACATGGCCCTTTGTCTCAGAGTAGCTGGGAGAGGCACAGCCCCAAGCCTGGGTGGAGCAAGATGGAGAAGGAGGTTGGCACCTGAACTGTGGGTCTGTGGTCCTCCCACACCTGAGTCTTCCCATGCCACTTGGCGTCCCTCCCACTACACTCTCCACATGGCAGCCCCCAGGGCCTTTACACCGCTGTTCCCCTCTGCCTGAAGAACTCCCCTAGATACCCAGGCTGGCTCCCCCTCACTCTGCTGCTGCAGTCTCAGACACACACCCCACTTAAAGTTAGTTGCAGGCTTCCCTGCCCTCACCATGCTTACTTTTCCACACAACAGGCAGCACTGCCTGACATGCTACACATTCTTGTGTGTATCCCAATGCCAAGGGCAGGTCAACTTTTGAGTCAAGGGTGGTGGTGCTGATGCTTCCTGTAAAAAATGGCAGTATGGGGGCCTCTTAACTCCTCGTCTAACATCACAGGGGGAAGAAGAGAATCATTATCAGCATCAACAGCCCAAAGCTGTTTGCTATAAAGCAGAGATCAGACATACCTCCACCTTCCAACCATTTCTTTGACCAATCCTGATACCAGCTGTCCTTCACTCAACACTCTCTACTTCTCTGCTGGGTTTGATAATTCATTGCAATGACCACACACAACTTACAGACCAAACTCACAGTTACAGGATTCATTAGGGAAGCATTCAGAATCAAAAATGACTCAGGATATAGTTCTTCGATCAGGACATACTCTTAGCAATGCCCACAGGTAGGTTTCTCTCTGGACCTCACCTGTCACCCGTTGGCCTGGCCTCTGCCCTGCTCAGGCAAGTGTTAGGAAAGTTTTTGGCTCTGCCAGTAAGTGCCCAGGGGCACCCCGCTCTGCCAGGAAACCTCCTGCCTGAAGGTGCCCAGCTTGCTTGCTCTGCATCAGTGCACCCATTGTAAGTGCCTTGCTCCATGGGCTGGGAAGCACACTGTGCTGTCACGTGCTGGCTTCCTGGTTCCACTGCCACCATTTCTCTGCTGCTGCTTCTCAACATCTTGCTCCATCTCCAGTGTTACAGCATCTGTCTCTGCCTCCTGGGTCTAGCAGGTTCTCAGCTCAGGGACCCTGGGTCCAAAGGACACATTCCAATCCTGCTGCAGTTTTGTGGTGATAGTAAGGTACCCCCCTGTCCACTTCTGGGTAGTTGCCTAGTATGATGGCAAAAGTGATCAATTCCCTCTTAAGGGTCTCATACAACTTATTTTCATGGTCCCATCACCACAAAAGGAGCTCTGGTGGTGCAATGGGTAAAGCAGCTGCTAACCAAAAGGTCAGTGGTTCAAACCCACTAGTTGCTCCACAGAAGAAAAGATGAGTCAGTTAGCTTCTGTAAAGATTTATAGCCTTGGAAACCCAATGGGGGAGTTCTGCTCTGTCCTAAAGTTTCGCTATGAGAATCAACTCACTGGCAGTGACTTTGGTTTTGTAATCTTCATAAGAGTGCCATGCATCTTACTTGCATTATTAGCAAGCTATCCAATCCCGTTGGTGGGCTACAAGCACCTCATTTGCATAGATAGTCCCGCCCAGTCATTTGGGCGATTTACAAGACCATAGTGAGAAAGGCCATATCAAAGCAATCCAACACATTGCACTGTCTTATTTAGGCCAGTCTCTTGCAGCAAGGCCCTGTTAGAAGGCCTGTAGAGATGGATGCATTGTAGAAATGCTTTGGGGACATAACCTAGGACCTGAATTCCAGTGTGGCCTGGCCAGTCCTCTGTGCTCATTACCAGCCATGTCTGATCCCTGAGTCTCCAACATGGCTCCCCTTCTCTCAGTGGATGGGGAACTCATCCCTATTTCTGGTGCCCCTTCCCAGATGAACCAGGTTTGCTTTCTGGGCTCTGACACAGCTGAACTGAGGAGTGCTGGCTGGGCAGTTGGAGGGTTAGCAGCGTGTGAGCAAACCCAGCCAGCCCAGTAATGCAGCACAGACTCTCATATCCCCTCATGGCAGCCCTGGCCTCCTGGCCTCCTACCTGCAGGGACCCCCACCCACCCACCCAAGACTCTATCTTTTGGCCTCTGCCAGCAAATGGCATGGTCCAGGCTGTTCAGCAGGGACCTGGCTCACAGATGAGCTGGGCTGAGGTGAAAAACAGGAGTCCTGAGGGGAAAGGATTCCTGCCCCAGACTGGACTGGTGTTCCAGCTTCCAATTGAGTGATTTTTGTTACTGAGACCAGAACCAGACAGGGCTTATGGACAAGGGCTCTGGGTAGAGCTCTTTGTCCATCGCCTGGTCCGTCCAGTGGGTCTGACTGGGGACAGTGGAGTCCCCAACTCATTGAACAACACAACGTGGAGAGGTCACTACCGGATGATGTGCTGAGTTCCAATGGGCTCTGACTGGCAATGAGCCACGGCCAGCAGCCGGACCAGTTCTCGGGAGGCTGAAGTCTCCTGGTGGAGCCCAGGAGCCAGACCCACGTAGGGGGAACAGTGCCTGCTGTGAGGTGGCTGGTGCTGACCACAGGGACAGTCAGGTGAATAGCAGGGAGCAGGAAGGGAAGAAAGGGTCTCTGGGCAGGCTCCTGGGGTGGGGGCTCCATCTTCATCACCTCCACCATCTCTCCTCCTCCTCCCTTTTCTAAACTTTTTTTTTTAAAAAAAATAATTGGAAAAAAAAGTAGAATTCCTGTATACCCTTTGCCCAGCTTCCCCAAATGTTAACACATAACCTAACCACAGAGACTGATCATAAACCAGGAAATTAACATCAGCCCAATCCTTACAACCAATCTACAGACCTTATTTTAATTTTACCAATTGTCCTACTTATGTCTCTTTTCTGGGCCAGGATCCCTCGTTATATCATTGCATTTAGTTGTCCCATCTTCAATCTAAAGGCTGTTCTTCAGTCTTTCTTTGAATTGATCTTCACACTTTTGAAAAGCACTGGCCAGTTATTTTGGGTTTGGCAGCCAGTTATTTTGGGTTCATGTGATCTTTTTTCATTACATTCAGACTTTACCTTTTTGGCAGAAATACTCATGTGATACTATATCCTTGTTGGGAAGTCCACAGTTTGTCCCTTCATGTTTTTTTTTTTTTTTTTTTTTTTTTCCTTTCCTTTTTTTAAATTGATGTTTTGGGTTGAATTGTATCTTCCCCAAAATATGTTTTAGAATCTTAACCCCTATACCTGTAGACTGGTGCTCTAGTGGCATAGCACCTACAGCATTCTACTACTACTAGACGACGGAAGGTTGGCAGTTCAAACCTACCTGCCAGTCTGCAGAAGGAAGACTGGGCAATCTACTTTTGCAAAGATTTATCACCTCAGAAACCCAAAGGGGGGTCTCTATGTCGGAATCAACTCAATGGCAGTGCTTGGTTTTATACCTGTGGACATCATTCACTGTTAGAAATAGGGTTTCCTTTGTTATGTTAATGAGGCCACCTCAGTGGAGGGTGTGTCTTAAACCTAATCACTATCGAAATATAAAAACAGGAGAAGACATAGGGGAAAGATAGGTGCCTCCTGCAGACTGCCAAGGAAGGAAGGAAGGCCAGGGCCACAGAAGCTGAGATGGTATCTACCCCTAGAGTAGACAGAGAACATTCCCCTAGACCTGGTGCCTTGATTACAGACTTCTAGCCTCATGAACTGTGAAATAATAAAGTTGTGTTCATTAAAACCACCATGGTAGTTAAGGTTATGTGTCAACTTGGCTGGGCCTGGTTGAGTGGCTGGACAGCTGGATGTGATATTCTCTATAATGACACTGGTAATCAGCTCCATGATGGAATCTACTGTGAGCAGCTGAGTAGCTGCCTTAAGGATGTGCTCTGCTCCCAGCATATAAGAAGCAGCTTTAGGAATGGTCTGTAGCTTTTGGCACATTGGAATCCTGCATGTAGCCCAGTTGTCATTCAGCAGCCTGCCATGTTTCCTGCCGATCTTGGGACTGTCTCTGGACTTGAACTAGTAAGTCTGCCATGTTGTTTGGTAATATCAGCACTATGCCTTTTTACCTGTCGACCTTGGGTTTGTCAGCCTCAGCAGCCAGCAGCTGCCTGAGTGAAGAAAGCCTCCAGCTTCAGTGGGCCGGGAGCAAGAGGCGGAACTGAAGCTGAAGATTGGAGATTGAGGGGCTTTCACACAGCCCCTAGAGGCTGGCACTTTGAACTTGGCCTTCTAGCCTCCTAAACTGTAAGAGATCAAACTTCTGTTTGTTCAAATCACCCCTTTGTGGTATTATCTGTTAGAGCAGCACGAAGTAACCCAAACAGAATATGGTACTGAGAGAGTGGGGTGCTGCTCTGACAGATACCGAAAATGTGGAAACAGGAGTGGAGTGAGATAGTGACAGCCTTACCAGCCCATGGAGCAAGAAGCTGAGTGTCTTTTGGACAGGAGGATTCCTGGTAGAATGGGTTGCCTTTGGGTACTGATTGGCAGAAGCTGAGAGACCAAGGAGGCAGGAAGCAGAGTTGCCTCAGCCTCAAATGGTAAGACTATAGCCTCTGAGGGTGGAACAGCCACACTCCCCTAGGATTCAAAGAGTCAGACCTTCACCAACTTGGTTCTGGAATGTGGTGCTGCTCATTCATGTGGGCCAATGGGATGGGGCCATAGCCGCTGCCTAAGAGTCCCGGGCGGAATTAAGAGTGAGGAGGCAGGGCTCCTGTGCCCTAGAGGTAGAGGAATGGGGGCCTGCCAGGCCAAGGAGGGGAGGTCACCACTCAGATGAACTAGGGGACTAGAACGATTCAATGAAGGAGATCTGTACAGGCGCCAAGTTGACAAGTGGTGGAATTGTGGTAGTTAAGGGTATGTGTCAACTTGGCTGGGCCTGGTTTTCAGTGGCTGGCCAGTTGGATACAGTTATTCCCCATGGTGAGACTGGTCATCAACTCCATGGTGGAATCAACTGGAGCAGTTCAGTAGCTGTCTTAGGCATGTGGTCTGCTTCCAGCATATAAGGAGAAGTGTTGAGAAAGGTCTGTAGCTTTTTGGCACGTTTGGAACCTGCACATAGCCAAGTCTTCATTCAGCAGGCTGCCAACTTTCCTGCCAATCTTAGAACTGTCTCTGGACTTGAACTAGTGTCCTGCCATGTTGTTTGGTAATATTGGGACTGTGCCATTTTATTTATCGCCCTTGGGCTTGTTAGCCTCAGCAGCCAGCGGTTGCCTGAGTGAAGAGGACCTCTAGCTCCAGTGGGCCGGAAGCAAGATGCAGAGCTGAAGCCCAAGGCTGAGGGGCTTTCACCCAGCCTCTGGAGCCTGGCACTTTGAACTTGGACTTCTAGCCTCCAAAACTGTAAGGGAATCAACTCCTGTTTGTTAAAGCCATCCCACCTCTGGTATGTCTGTTAGACAGCATAAAGTAACCAAAACAAGCACCTAGTTGTGATATTTCTGTTACAGCAACAGTAACAAACTAAGACAATTAGGTACAATAATGCAATGCCCACATTTAACTTGTACAACTTGATACATTTGGACATGTATATATACACTTGCTGGTATATACTTGGTTAAGGCCATGTCTGTCTAGTTTCTTTCTACTGAAATGTTACTGTTTTCTTTTTGTAATTAGTAAGTATCTTGGGGGCAAACTTTGCAACTCTGTAAAAACTTGTTTCTCATACTTTGCTCACTAAGTTTAGCTTCTGTGGATGATTTCTCCCTTAAAGGTTATTGGCAGTGTTAGATGTCATCAAGAAGTGGTTGTGACTCCTAGCGACACTACTTACAACTGGGTCCTGTGCATCCCAGCAATCCTTGCTATGCTTGAGCCTATCATTGCAGCCACTGTGTCAATTCATCTCCATGAGGGTCTTCCCTTTTTGCGTTGACCCTCTACTTTACCCAGCCTGATGTCCTTCTCCAGGGACCGGTCCCTTCTGACAACATGACCTAAGTATGAGAGATGAAATCTGGCCATTTTTGCTTCTAAAGGACATTCTGGCTGTACTTCCTTCACTACAGATTTGTTCGTTCTTCTAACCATGCGTGGTACATTCCGTATTCTTTGCCTACACCACAATTCAAATTTCAAATTCAAAATGTAGTGACCACCAAATGGGAGATGTTTCTTTTTGAATCAGTCCTTTTACATTTATATCTAAGGAAGAGGTGACCCTTCACCATTTGTTTATATTTTTTTAATTCTTAATTAATGCTTTTGATTAGACTACTATCTAGTGCCTATGTGAAGGAGCTCTGGCAGTATAGTGCCTAAGGCATTTGACTGCTAACCAGAAGGTTGGCAGTTTAAAACCACCAACCACTCTGCAGAAGGAAGACTGGGTAATCTACTTTTGTAAAGATTTACCACCTCGGAAATCCAAAGGGGCTCGCCATGAGTCAGAATCGACTGGATGACAGTGAGTTTGGTTTTGGTTTGAGTGCCTAAGCGTATGTACCATCGTGACCACACAGTCAACTGGAAATGGGCCCTGATGCACAAAGCAGCAAAAAAAACACCCAGAGCGCAGTTAGCTCCTCCGCTCCCCTGTTCCCAGCATTCTCCGCGTTTCTCTTGCTCCGCTGTTCCCAGCGTTCTCTGCGGCCACCACCCTCGCCCTGTCAAGCCCCAGCCTTCCCTCGTCCATCCCCCCCCCTCCCGGCGGCTATCCTTAGCGCAGCCGCAACCTCAGAGCCAGGTCCCGCCTGTGCGGCCATGCTATTGGGTCGCGCACGGAGGCCGCGAGCGCCCTGCGCCACCGATTGGCGATCTCTGTAGCCCGCTCCACGACTCCCCCAATGCGGGGCGGTGGCGTGCTGGGATTGGCCGCATGTCGGGAAGGCCCGCCCTCCGCTCGCCCGGCGCGGTAGACGGGTCCCGCCGATCGGAGAAAGAGGTCCTGGATGGTGCTTTTTGGATAGCAGTGGCGGCTGAGCTGTGAGGGTTTCCCTGCTGTGGTCGGGCTACGGAGGCTCTGGCAGGTCGCGGGTGCCTGAGGTAGGTGCGGGGCGCGAGGGGCGCCCCGCGAGCCGGGCGGGCGGGCGCTGCGGCCTGCGCGAGGGCGCGCCCTTCCCTCCCTCCCGGTCTCTTGCCGGGCCACAGGACGAGGCGGGATGGGGCGCGAGGCGGGCCCAGCCACGCGGAGCCCCGGCCTTTGTGAGGCAACATGGCGGCCGGGGGCGCGGGGCGGGGGCCCCGCCGGGGGGATCCGGAGTGGGGCACCAACCCAGGGCACGGGCGCCCGTTGCTCTCCGCCAGGGTAAACAGCCATAGTGTACAGAGGCCCCGCGCTCTGTGGGCCCGAAGCCGCAACAGCGCTTTTCAGGCGGGAAAGGCATGGACATGGGCAGTGCTCGCCCGGAACGCTGCCGACTTTAAATGCAGTTTGGGAGATCCGAGAAGTCGCCTAAGTTCTTTTCTTCCCCAAATGTTCATCGATTAAGTGGCGTATAGATCGTGGGGATGTGATTTTATTGTAACAGTTAGTGTGGTAGAAAAATAATGGCAAGTGGCAACCTGTTGATACCAATACTTGTCAAGTGCCACCCGCTGGACTTGGGTTGCTCACGGTAGGAACTTGATTTTCTGTCTTGCATGTTTGCATGCACCTTGACACCCCGTGCACGGGCGTTTGGTCTCGGGCTGTTACCCGTGAGGCAAACACTAGACCCTCTTTTCCTGGCTCCAGGGCGGACTCCCAGTGGGAGAAGCGGCCCCCACCCCGCTGTAGGCCTTCACTCAGTAAAGGGGGTGCATGACCAGTTGGCAGTGCCCAGTGCCGCCTGTGCGTCCAGGCTGTGAGGTCTGTTGGAGGAATGGATGAGGTCATACTGCTGCTGGGTTGGGCGGGAGGCTGCACCAGGAGAGGCTTGACCATAAGGCAGCAGCCACAGCACTGAACCATCTCAGTCGGAGCCTGGATGCCAGCTCAGCAAATGGACTCCGAGGAAGGGCGCTGCCCAAGCCTGTTGGCTTTACCTTGTGCCAGAGATCCAGGGAAGCCTACTATGAGTCTGCGGCCAGCTCACGGCTCAGTTGGGGAGGCAGGGCTTGCATCTGTGTGTTCAATAAGCTGCAGCAGTAGTGAGGCTGAAGAGAGGGGAAACCAGCCTTAGAGCCCTTTATTCAGCCCAGGCACGTGCAAAACATTTCCAAGGTTTTTTTTGTTTTGTTTTGTTTTTTATAGTCTTCTTGGTGATTGTGGGGTAGGGAATGGGATTCTGTTCCGTTTGCTCGGTCTCAGCTTCTTGTGTGTGTAGCGCCCCTGCCCCGTTGGTGATCCCATCCAGCCTGGTGGCATCAGTGCTCCAACCCTGGCTGGCTCTGAGTTCCAGCCTCGCGTGTCAGCTGCCTCTTCCACATCTCCACGTGTTGCTTTGATACCTATTAAAATTCCAAACCCATGGTCATCAAGTTGATTCTGACTCATAGCGACCCTATAGGATAGAGTAGAACTGCCCTACAGGGTTGCCAAGGCTGTAAATCTTTATGGAAGGTTTATGTAAAAAAAAAAAAATCTTTATGTAAATCTTTGTGACTGCCACATCTTTCTCCCAAGGAGCAACTTGGGGGTTTAGAGTTCCGACTGTTGGGTTTGCCGCTGAGCTCTTAACCACCACACCACTAGGGCACCCCTCATCTTCATCCACTCCAGAACACTCCTCATGCCATCTTCAGCACATGACAGCTATTTCCTTCAGTTTGGAGTCACCCTGCTTTCTTTTTCTTACATTTTCATGCAGTCCTCAGGAAGCCCCATTGACCTCACCTTCTATCTGTTTTCAGTATTTGACCATTTCTCACCATCTCCAACTTACAGTCCTGGTCCAAGCAAGCCACCTGGTGAGTCTCTTAATTCTTCCTGGTCCTGTCTGTCCCCCAGGCTTCTGTAGACACAAAGTGACCTTTTTAAATTGCAAGATAGAATACAACCAGAGCAACTTCAGCCCTTCCTAGCTGTGTGACCTTGGGCAAATTGCTTAACCTTTCTGGGCTTAATTTTTCTCTCACAGTACTGTGTGAGAGTTGGGTGAATTTAAATATATAACATGATTAGAACAGAGGACCTGGCCAAGAGTTGTCTGTGATTGCTGTCACTGGGGGCATGTGACATCACTATTTGGATCCTCCTGTCCAGTGGCCTGTTTCTCTGAAGATGAGAGCCAGCGTCCTGACCCCACTTGTTGTTGCTTAATTAGTTTCCTGCTTCCCCCTTGCTCATGCTACTCCAGCCAGACACACTACACTCTTACCTAAGACCTTTGCTCTTATACTTCTGCCCATCTCCAGCTCACATACAGCTTCCTCTCTTCTGTCTTCACATGGGGCACTGGCTATGAGGCCTTCCCTGCTCCCCCTTTCTGAAGCTGCCTTCCCTTCCCCAATCCCTTCCTGCTTTATTTTCTCTTGAACACTTTTCAGCATGTGACACAATCCATATATTTCTTTTTAAAGTAATACTATATTTTCAGTGAAGGTTTGCACGGCAATTTAGGTTCCCATTCAACTATTTCTACATAAACTGTTCAGTGACATTGGTTACGTTCGTTGCAGCGTGGGACCATTCTCATTATTTCCATTGTGGTAGCTCCGTTTCCGTTTGTCTAGTTTCCCTGTGCCCTTACTTTCTCACTTTTAAAAAATGTAATTGTTGACCGTTTGGTCTCATATAGGTGGGTTTTTCCATTTATTTATTTATTTATTTTTTACAGGAGCACAGTACTTTCGGGTGAATTTCATTATTTTGTGAGCCAGTCTGTTATTTAGTTACAAGGTGACCTCAGGGATTAGTTTCAGTTCAAAGTTTAAAGAGTATCTCACGGCTGTAGTCTAAGGGAATCCTTCAATCTCAACCAGTCCAGTTAGTCTTTTTTTTTTTTTTTTTTAAAGGGATTTGAGGCTCTGTTCCACATTTTTCTCCCATTCTATCAGGGTCCATCTCTTGAAGCTCTGATTAGAATGGTTGATAGTGGTAGCCGGGCATCATTTATTTTTTCTGGTCTCAGGTAGATGAGGCCATGGTTTGTGTAGACTGTTCTATAGACCAGCCTTTGCTTTCCTTCTTTCTCTTTTGCTACTATGAGTAGAAACCAATAGTTGTATCTTAGATGGCTACTTGCAAGCTTTTAAGACCCTGGACATTGCTTATCAAACTAGGAACATAATTTTGTAAATGATACTATGCCACTAGACCAAGATGTTTCATGACACCATGGTCCTTAGCCTTCAAACCCAGAGAACCAATTCCACAGGGTGTTTGGTTATGTCTAAGAAGTATCTATGACAGTGGCCCTTATGTGCTTTATTATGTATGTGAATATATGTGCGTATAGTCTCATGTTGTTGTTGTTATGTGCCATCGAGTTGGACCCAACTCATAGCAACCCCTCCTTGGGTTTCCGAGGCAGTATCACCATGGAAGTAGATTGCCCCATCTTCCTTCCGAGGAGTGGCTGGTGGGTTTGAACTGCCAGACTTCTGGTTAGCAGTCAAATGCCTTAGGCACTACGCTACCAGAGCTCCTATATAGTCTCATAGATGCATATAAATATGCACACATCTATGGGTACATACACCCACATGCACACACACACACACACACACGTAGGCATATACAAACAAAAACCAAACTCACTGCTGTGGAGTCGATTCTGACTCATAGTGACCCCTATGGGTTTCCGAGGCTCTAAATCTTTATAGAAGTAGATTGCCCTATCTTCCTTCTGCAGAGCAACCAGTGGGTTTGAACTGCTGACCTTCTGGTTAGCAGGCAGAACTGCTTACCTATGCACATATATGTTGCAAATTCACACATATACCCACAGATATTTTTTGGTTGTTGTTGCTATTGTTTGAAAATTATATAGTAAAACCTGAGAAAGCTGGAACCGGTGTAAGACAGAAACTTGTCAGAAGGAAAATGCAAATATTTTCCATTGAAACGAGCAGTAGAAAATTGGTAAAACTGTATCTTGTCAAAGGTGGAAAACTTGCAAGGTCTGGATAAACAAGGTAGTCCCTTGGAGTCACAGGTTTTACTGTTTATTCCATAGCAGTTATCACCAGGCCCTTTTTTCTTATGTACATTTTAGTGACATTGTTTACCTTCATCAACTTGTGTATATTTCACTGGCATTTGGTATTATTTTTCCCATCACCAAAAAATAAGTGTGTACTATCTAGAGAGGGAATGCCCCTCTTCCCTTTCCCAACCCTTGTAACCACTAATAAGCATTAGTTTCTGTATATTTACCTGTTAGGTTGTCGTTTCATAAAGTGAGAACATACAATATTTGTTTTTCTGTGATTGATTTATTTCACCCAACATGTTTGCCAAGTTCATCAGTGTTCCAGGCTATTTAGGGGATTCATTTTCGTTTATCACTGAGTAATAGTCTGTTGTACTTATATACATTTTACTTACCCATTCATCCACTGATGGGCACTTACGTTGTTTCCATCTTTCTGCTGAATGTAAATAGTGCTGCGATGAACATAAGTGCATGTGACTGTATCGCTTCTGTTAGATCCTAGGAACAGAATCACGTTTTTCTTAATTACTATTTGTCTCTCCCACTAACCATGAGCTCTGTGAGGGTAGGGACTTTGTCTGTGTCCTCAGCATCTAGAATGGAGTGTGCCATATGGAAGGCATCCAGCAAACGTTTGTTGAATGAGTAGCGCAGACTTGCAGAGGAAAAATAAGGCATTTACTCCAAGATGACCCCACTTCTGGGCTCTGAGCCTGGAGTTTCTGCTCTCTGGGACTGGGCAGGTTTTCTCTGCCCACCCTCTGCACCTCCTTCAAGGTCTCACTTTATTAGTTATTGTCACGATCGTCTTTGCTCTTTGCTTCTACTCTGGTTGCTGCTTAGTTTGCTACCCTGGTGGCAGCTTTCCCCATCCGATATTTCTGTTTGTCTCCAGTCCTTCCACTTGGTTGTACCTTCTTCGTTTTTGCTTCTTCTGCCCCCAGAATCCTGGTTCATGGACTGGCTTTCTCTAGTCTGCAAACTTACCAGGTGCTGAGTCCACTGAGGAGTGATTGGTCCTGGTCTCCCTCACGTTCTGTAGCACTGGGCATGCTGACCTGTTTGTCCTTCTTGGAAATGATTTTTCGGTTGCTGGGATACCAGCCTTACCACGCTATGCATTCCTATAGCTACAACCTTCTTAGCATTTACTGCAGATCTAAGCATGACATTATTTAGGTGCCATATTTCCTGGATTCAAAAGTACACCCTTGATGTCTGTGTCTCTGGGGAGGAGTACCAAAGCAAAACCCCAAAGCCACTGCTGTTGAGTTGATTCCGACTCACAGCAACCCTGTCAGACAAAGTAGAACTGCTTCATAGGGTTTCCAAAGTTATAAATCTTCACAGAAGCAGACTACCTCCTCTTCCTTCCATGGAACAACTGGTAGGTTTGGACTGCTGACCTTTTGGTTGGCAACTGAGCGTTTTAACCACTGTGCCACTAGGGCTCCCTAGCTGGGGTATTGCATTCGGGAATGCTAGAACATTTTAGAATCTAGCAAATAGAGTGTCAGCACAGTAGTTATTGTCCTGTGTCTGGCCTTGTGTATGGGGACCTTGTCTCGTTCATGATAATGCCTCTCTCAGAGTGGATGTTCAGTGAATTTTTATTTTTCTAACATTGTGTCCTCTTTAAAATACAACAACCACGCTCTATCCCTTCATTGTAAATGTCTTAAAACTGTGATGTTTGCTTTCTTCTTTCCCTGCTCCAGCTGCCACACATGGATGTATGCATGGCATGTGCATGCGTGTGTGTATGTGCCCCGGAGGAGTGTGTGTGCATGTCTGCATGTATCTTCTCCCAGCTCTGACCAGTGCCCCCACCCCTTTTTGGGTTTTCTGTCTGCTTGCTTTGACCTGCCTTCTCAGCCTCGAGTCATCCCTTTTTTCGTGCTTCTTCTGTGCCAAAGCTTCCCCGAGTTTGTCTTCAGCCGTCTTCTTGGTCTGTGTCCCTCTCTGGGTGGCCTCCCTCCGGTGTTTTGATGACTGTCTCCTCACGGATGCATTCCGGCCCTTCCTCTCTGGGCCATCACAAGTCTAGAGCTGTGGTTTTGGCACCTGTTGAACAGGCCCAACTGGAGAGTCCGTCCATTCTTCTCTCCATGCTTCTGCCTGGAGGGTGGAACGCAGGTGTCCATGCAGGGAGAAGTCTTCTTCCTCTCTGGTTCCTGCTTTTGTCCCCCTCCTCAGACTGTCATCAGTCAGCGAGTGTCGTCCGTTCTGAGTTGTCGCTACGCGTGACTTCCTGCTCTTCTCAAGCCCTGTTGCCAGGGTCTCTCTTACACTTGTGTCATCTGGCCCAAAAAACCGCTCCTCATGCTTTGGGCATACTGCCACCTGAGCCTCGTATGAATGTCCATAGGGCATCTCCTTGCTACAGTAGAGACCTAATTGTGGCCCCCAAATTGCTTCACCACTGGTGGCCGGTTACTGCTCCAGCTTGGAGCCAGGCTCCAGTCCCTCCACTGGCTACTCCCCCTGCCTGGACTCCAGTTGTCTCCTGAGGCTCCTTCCACAATCCCGGGCAGGCCGCCTTCCCACGGCCCCTCGCCCACCTCCTCTGCTGGGAACAGCACCATGTCACCACCTCTGGTGATCTCGGCACTCTGCATCACTGCCCCTCGTCCACGTGCCACCTTGTGGGTCCAGGAAAGGCCTGGGGTCCCAGGGGTAGCAGAGCGCCGGGCTGTGCCTCTGAGGCCCCTAGTGCCGCAGAGCTGAGCTGAGGGTCCTGCGCTCACCCTCTACTGACCCAGCCCTTGCAGGTGAGTGGATTGATGTTGCTCTGATGGCCCAAGGGAGGCCACACCCCTTGTGTGTGTTCTGCAAAGGGCGACCTCACATCGCATGCTTACTTACCTAATAAACTAAGTCAGGAGAATGCTGAGGTGAGGTGCAGTGTAATTTTTAAAATGCTTTTTGAGCCTTAAGATGATACCATTTTTGTACTTCTGAAGTTAGGATTAAAATGGATAATAACACGTTTAACTTTGGACTTAAATTATAAATTAGGTTCTGAAGAAAAAAAGTACAGTTACTTTGTTCTGATTTTTAAAAGGTTCTCTTAGACAGCATTATTTTAAGTCATCATGCTGTTAATAGCACCTGATTCTTAATTCAGTGCCAGGAAAGCGGAAGTTTTCTGTCATTTTGTGATGATGTTTTTAAATTTCTTTGCAGGTGGAAGAAGAAAGGCGCCACTTTGGCATGAAGACAGACTCGCTTAGTCGTCAGTCATTTAAGCTGAGTGCATTGTGATTTCCAATAATTGAGGCAGTAGTTCTAAAAGCTGTCTACATTAATGAAAAGAGCAATGTGGCCAGCTTGACTAAGCCGCCAGCGTGTGCAGCGCGGGCAGGACGGCACCCGGGTCTCGGCGGACTTGTGCATGTTAGCTGTTAGATTTATGTAAGGGTTTTTAAAACTCTGGTTTTTAAAATAGTTTTACTGCTTTTAATATGGAGACATATGAGAGGCCCTCTCCTCTCCCGCGTGAGGCCGCAGGAGAAGCGATGATGGAGAGCCGAGCTTGCCTCTTCCGAGCGCTGCCCCGTGAACAGTCTCCACCACCTCCCCTGCAAACGTCCAGTGATGCAGAGGTAATGGACGTTGGCTCTGGTGGTGATGGACAGTCCGAACCCCCTGCTGAGGACTCGTTCAACTTCTACGGAGCTTCTCTTCTCTCCAAAGGATCCTTCTCTAAGGGCCGCCTCCTCATAGACCCGAACTGTAGTGGCCACAACCCACGCACCGCCCGGCACGCACCTGCGGTCCGGAAGTTCTCCCCTGATCTTAAGTTGCTTAAGGATGTAAAGATTAGCGTGAGCTTTACCGAGAGCTGCAGGAGTAAGGACAGGAAGGTGCTGTACACAGGAGTGGAGCGCGGCACTCGGGCAGAGTGCGGTTTTGTCCTTAGTCCTGTCAGTGGAGACGTGCATGCTTGTCCCTTTGGCGGGAGTGTTGGTAACGGGGTAGGAATAGGGGGTGAGAGTGCTGATAAGAAGGATGAGGAGAATGAGCTGGATCAGGAAAAGAGAGTGGAATATGCAGTGCTCGATGAGTTAGAAGATTTTACTGACAATTTGGAGCTAGATGAAGAAGGAGCAGGCGGGTTCACGGCTAAAGCAATCGTTCAAAGAGACAGAGTGGACGAAGAAGCCTTGAATTTCTCCTATGAGGTATGTCGGTAACCCCTCCTTTGGAGGGCTTTTAGCAAAACTCAAAGAGGTGTGTGGGAATCACAGTGCCTTTTAAAAGCTGACATTGCAGAGAGAGACAAAAAAAAACCTAGGAGGTGGAATAACAAGGTGGGAAAGAGAAATACAAGGAGTCCAGGTTTTAAACATTTCTAATTGTAATGAGAAGTTTGGCTGATAAGTTGGCTCTTTACCGCCTTTCCCAAAACGGAGTTGGAAGGTGTTGCTGAGAGCTGCTCGCTGGGGCGTGCACACCTGGACTCGGGTGTGTTGGCTTTAGTTGTTGCTTTCATTCCATTTGCTTTTCAGATACTCATGCACCATAAAGGCACACCTAGGGCCCCCCTTGAAAATGACCCATGTTGTGTCCATTCTTGTTAATGCTGCTAATCTTGCCCGTGGTGCAAGAAGTCCTGCCTCCGTCCTCGAGGTACAGGGGCCTGGGGTCATGGTATCTTAACAGTGTGTTTTGCAGGATGATTTTGACAATGACGTGGATGCTCTGCTGGAAGAGGGCCTATGTGCTCCCAAAAAGAGGCGAATGGAGGAAAAATACGGAGGAGACAGTGACCATCCATCCGATGGAGAGACAAGTGTGCAGCCAATGATGACCAAGATTAAAACAGTGCTCAAAAGTAAGTCAGTGGTTAGAAAATAGCATTTCCAGAACAGTAGGAGTATGTTGTTGTTGTTGTTAGGTGCCATCGAGTCGGCTCCGACCCACAGCGACCCCGTGTCCAACAGAACACCACACTGCCCGGTCCTGCGCCAGCCTCACAGTCCTTGCTGTACCTGAGCCCATTGCTGCGGCCGCTGTGTCAGTCCATCTCATTGAGAGTCTTCTTTTTCGTTGACCCTTCACTTTACCAAGCCTGATATCCAAGAAACTCACTGCCATTGAATTGATTCTGACTCATAGTGACCCCCATTGGGTTTCTGAGGTGGTAAATCTTTACAGATGTAGATTGCTCCTTCTTCCTTCTGCAGAGTGGCTGGTGGGTTTGAACAAACAGCCTTCCAGTTAGCAGTCAGATGCCTTAGGCACTGTACCAGAGCTCCTTACAGGTTTTGTGTGTGTGTGTGTGTGTGTGTGTGTAAGAAAATTGCTTCATTAATTTTAGGCAGTTGTCATATGTTTGAGGGCAGGATAGTCATGGCTGAGTCTTCTGAGAGTTCTCATCTGATGGAGAGAAAACAGACAAGAGCCAAGGCAGCACCTAAACACAGTGAACCAGGTGCAGATCATGGTCTATGCTGTGAAAACCACCGAGTGGGCCAGCATCCTGCAGTGGAACATAGCGGGGGCCTGTAACACGGAAGGGATTATCTTAAGGGTCACGTTGGTGCTGAGCCCAGGGAGGGGGTTTTGAGAGGGTTAAAAATGGACCCCCAAGGAGGGACATTGGTGCTGAGCTTGGAAGATGAAAAGACTGGCGGTAAGAATGTCTGGAGGACAGAATTGTGGAAGCTCAGTGAGGTGACAGGTGATGGTGAAGGGTCTCCAAATCACATCCAGAGCTCTGGATTTTATATGCTGTGTGGCAAGCAACTATTAGTGTGTGTCATTGAGTTGGTTCTGACTCATGGTGACCCTGCTTGACGGAATAGAACTGCCCTATAGAGTTTCTTAGTCATCTTTATTGGAACAGGTGCCTGGTATTTTCTCTTGCAGAGTGGCTGGTGAGTTTGAACTGCTGACCTTTTGATTAGCACCCAAGTACTTAAGTGTTGCACCACCAGGACCTGATGGGAAGCCACTAGAAGCGTGATTAGAAAGCACCACTCTGGCAGCTGCCAGATGGGGTGGACTTTGGGTAGGCAATGGGAGCTTCTGCAGAGAGGTGGCTGTGTTCAGAGGTACAGGTGATACACAGGACCTGCATTCATTGTGGATTTGGGGACCACAGGGAGAGAAATTGGAAGATACCAGGTAGTGTCTTTTGTAGCTCTGGTGGATGGCAGTACTGCTGTGGGGACGGATTGGGAGTCTGTTTCTCTCTGTACTGGCTTGAGGAGCAGTGAGAATCCTGGGAGGTGTTGGACTGAGTGGTTGGGTAATGGAAAGTGAGGCGCTAAAGAGACGTGTAGGATTCATTGCCACACAGGTGACCCCCTGGACTGAGGGTGTGGGTGCAGGAGGCGAGGAGGTAGAGGGGGGTCGAGAGCCAGGGGAGCCAGGGAAGGATGTGTGGGGTCCCGGGCTGCTGAGTGAATGTACCAGCAGTGGTGGTGTTGCACGTTATGCCCACGGCAGCTACTGTTTGAACAGGAGGAGTGTGGGATTTGTGTGGTCGTGAACAGGGTGAACCTGGAGTATTTGGAATTTGGAGCAGGCCCAGGGTGAGTATGTCGGTGCCTCTGGAAGGTTTACTTTGTGGTTTCAGCAGTCTCACTTTTAGCAGATGAGCCCGTGTTCTTCCTGAGCAGCCTACGTGTTTGCAGTAGATCTGACTGTGACTACCACTGCACCTACCGGCCCCTGGCTCTGCCCTAGGCAGTGCTACGCCTTGCCCTCTGCAGCTCCTCTCCTTGGCTCCGCCTTCCTTGCAGGCTGCCCATTGAGTCTACTTCTCAGGCCTTCTGCTCACATACAGACACAGCTACATGTCTGCTGAGCTCTTCAGAGGGACCGGGAAGACTTTCTCACTGCTAATTTTAGACCAGGGTGTTTTCATGGCATAGTGGTTAAAGCATTCGGATCTTAACCAAAAGGTCAGTGGTTTGAACCCATCCACCACCCACTCCATGGGAGAAAGATGAGGCAGTCTGCTGCTGTAAAGATTTATAGCCTTGAAACCCTGTGGGTCAGTTTTACTCTGTCCTGTAGGGTTACTGTGAGTCTGAATTGACTCAGTAGTAGTAGGTTTGGAATTTTAGACCATTTGTGGATATGAATATACTCTGGTGGTGCAGTGGTTAAGGCACTTGGCTGCTAACCAGAAGGTCAGTGGTTCGAACCTACCAGCTGTTCCACAAGAGAAAGATGAGGCAGTCTGCTTTCGTAAAGATTTAGAAACAGTTCTACTCTGTCCTATAGGGTTGCTGTGAGTCAGGACTCCCTCAATGGCAGTAGCTTTGGTTTTTGTAGATTAAGATCCCATGTTCCCATTTGTGTTTGTCTCATTGGCTTCTCCTGACTTAGCCCAAAGCTAGTGTAAGGCAGTTCCGTTTTGGACCATGCCCAAGGGAGGAGAGTGGTTGAAAGTATCATTGGACTTCTGCCGAGCAGCACTGGCTCCAGAAGGCTGTCTGTGACAGCAACTGTGCCCTTCTCCGCTCAGTAACGGCCTGTGTGCAAGGCTGTCAGGGCGTGTGGCCAGGTCCTTTGGGTGGAGTTTGTCAGGGTGGTGCCAGTTGTCTTTCCTATGAGACACTGACACTTTAAACAGTTTATTGTTTTTTCTTTTTAGCTAACACTCCCTGTTTTCTTTTTGTTTCTAAATTTCTGATTTGTTCAAAATACCTGTAAGAAAATCAGATTTGAGTTCAGTCCTTGCACGGTGCTTTTCTCGCAAGCACGTCTGCCAGGATGTCCATCTGTGCTGTGTTCAGTATTCTCTGCCAGCACTACAATTCAGATGCATCAGTGATTCGTGAGTCTTCTTCATTAATTGTCCAGCTTTCACATACTTACCAGCAGTTGAAGAGACAGTGCTGTGGGTTAGGTGGGCCTTAGTCCTCAAAGTGACATCTTTGCTCTTGAACACTTTAAGGAGGTCCTTTGCAGGAGATTTGCCTCATGCTGTACAGTGTCTCGTTTCTTGACCACTGCTTCTGTGGGAGTTGATTGTGGATCCAAGTAAAATGATATCCTTGACAACTTCAGTGTTTTCTCCATTTATAATGATGTTGCTTATTAGTCCAGTTGTGAGGATTTTTGTTTTTTTTATGTTGAGGTGTAATCCATATTGAAGGGTGAAGTCTTTGGTCTTCATCGGTAAGTGCTTCAAGTCTTCACTTTCTGCAATCAGGGTGGTGTCATTTGCATATCACAGGTTGTTAATGAGTCTTCTTCTAATCTTGATGCCACATTCTTCTTCATATAGTCCATCTTCTCAGATTATTTGCTCAGCATACAGATTGAATAAGTGGTGAAAGGATACAGCTCTGATACACACCTTCCCTAATTTTAAACCATGCAGTATCCCTTTGTTCTGTTTGAACAGTTGTCTCTTGATCTGTGTACAGGTTCCTCACAATTAAGTGTTCTGGAATTTCCGTTCTTCACATCGTTGTCCATATTGTGTTATAATTCACACAGTCAAATGGCTTTGCATAGTAAATATAACACAGGTAAACATCTTTCTGGTATTCTTTGCTTTAGCAGTGATATCCCTTCTTACACATCCTCTTCTGAATCTGGTTTTAATTTCTGGCAGTTTGCTGTTTTTTAATTATTTTTAGCAAAATTTTACTTGCATGTGACAGTAATGATATTATTCAATAATTTCCATATTCTTTTGGATCACCTTCCTTTGGTATGGGCACAAATAGGGATCTCTTCTAGTCGGTTGGCCAGATAGCTGTCTTTCATATTTCTTGGTGTAAATGAATGAGGGTTTCCAGTATCACATCCGTGTGTTGAACATCTCAATAGCTATTCTATCAGTTCTGGAGCCTTGGTTTTTCGTCCTTTCCTTCAGAGCAGCTTGGACTTTTCAGTACCATTGATTCTTGAACGTATGCTACCTCCTGAAATAATTGAATATTGACTGATTCTTTTTAGTACAGTGACTATGTATTCCTTCCATTTTCTTGTTTTGGTTACTTTGTGCCACTCTAACAGAAATACACCACAAAGGGGTGGCTTTCACAAACAAAAGTTTATTCTTTTACAGCTTTGGAGGCTAGAAGTCTGAGTTCAAAATGCCAGGCTCTAAGACAGAAAATAACACATGCTGGCGAGGTTATGGAGAGATTGGGACTCTCCTACACTGCTGGTGGGACTGTAAAATGGTACAACCATTGTGGAAATCAGTACGGAGATTCCTTCAAAAGTTGGAATTAGAAATACCATCTGATACCAGCCATTCCATTACTAGGTATATGCCCTAAAGAAGTAAGAGCCATGACAAGAACAGATATATTCACACCCATGTTCATCACAGCACTATTTACAATAGCGAAAAGATGGAAACAACCTAGGTGTCCATCAACTGAGGAATGGATAACCAAACTATGGTACATACACACAGTAGAATACTATGCAATGCTAAAGAATAATGTAGAATCTGCAAAACACTGCATAACGTGGATGAACTTGGAGGACATTATGCTGAATAAAATAAGTCAATCACAAAAGGACAAATATTATATTAGTCCGTTATTGTAAAAGTTAAGGAAAGGTTTATATATGGAAGGAAATTTTCTTTGTTGGTTACCAGGGGTGGGAGGGTAGGGT